GGGGGGCAGCACCACTCCGCCCCGGTGCGCCTACAGCAGGTGTTCTGGAGGCGGAGCGGGGGCAGGCCTGCCCCCGCCGCCCCTGGGGGACTGGCCCATTTAGTCTCTGCGGGGCGATGCCACCTCAGAGCGAGAGGGGCTTCCCGCACGATTCCCCACACAGCAAGACGGAAACAGCATCACAAAGACGTGTGTAAGCACGAGTGCCCAAAGGGGCGGGTCCCTCTGACCAGGATACCCCCCCCCTCCAAGCTCTGCCTCCAGCATCCAAATCCCGACTCGTGAAACTTGCCCCGGGGGAGACTGGATTTCCTCCCGGTCTGGTTTTAAGAACAGGAAACGCCGCAGGAGTGAGTTAAGCTGGCGAAGTGGCCAATGGAGTTGGCTATAACCCACGCCCGTAGGAACGTGTCTGACCACGTGCACGTCTAAACGGCCATTCCCACTACCACTTATGGCTCTGATCCTGCAAACACAAATGCTCCTAAGACAATGCAGGATAGTATAAGTTAAACAGGTATGCAAGTATTTGCAGGATGAAGTATGTGATTATGCATGCACACAAGTGACAATAACATGCAATGTGCATTAATAATATATATTCAAGTGTGAGCAATTTAGAGGGGCAGCAACGAAACCCCAATTCAGTCCGGAGCCCTCCCCCGCTGCTCAGCCCCAGCCCTTTACCTTTTTTGATCTTCTTATGGAAGTTAATGGCGTCCACGGAAGCTGTGACGATGTTGGTCTTACAATGGCGAGCAGCCACGATCCCAGCCACCTCGTCCATGAGCTTCATGGTGACACCTGAAAGAGGAGCAGTGCGGATCAGTGACCAGACCAAACCCGGGGGGGCGGAGGGGGGGCTTTCCTGGACCAGCAAGCTGCACTTCAGAGGGGCAAGCTGTGCCCGAAGGCCGGCTACTGCCACGCCTCCGCACTCAGAGCAGGCGCGCGCTCTAAGCCCGTCGCGCAGGCCTCTCCTTGGGAGCACAGGGGCAGCAGGCTGCTCTCACCACCCAGAGGCTGGCCTGGGGTCTGGCTTGGGTTGAAACCAGGAAGAGGATGTGAGCAACAGAAGTGTCACTAACTCACCTTTTCCAGACAACGAGCAGCCCTGTGGCACCTTGGAAACTAACGAAAATATCTCGAGCATCACGAGTTTCCCTGGCCACCCCCACTTCGCCAGACAGGGCCAGCGGGGACGCACACGGGCTGGCAGGAAGCGGCTTTGGCCCAGGAAAGCTCACGATTCGGTATCTACATTATTGCGCGTCACTAAGGTGCTCCAGGACTGCTCGTCTTTTAAAGCTCCAGGACAACCCCCCCCCAGACTTGTACGTTCTTTCAGTGTCCCCAGAGGCCAACACGCCCTTGGCTTCGGGAATGCACCCCCAGCACCTCTGCCCAGCTCGTCACTGCACCAAGGGGCCCCGCCCAAGGCCCCGCTAACCGGAGCGTTGACGCGCTGCAATGTGGCTGGCTGAGCAACGTGGCTGGGCCGCCGGCAGGACGGCAGCGTGGTGAACCCGCGCGGTCTCCGCCCC